ATTGATTATACTCTTAGGAAATTGTTAATTTAAACAAACATTATACATGTACATTACTGAATACAATGTACATTTATTCATTTATGTTTCTCCTTATTATTGTACATGTAACTTTAGAAAATATAGAGTAACTAGTCATTGAGGCATAGCATTCATGTACATAGCCAATTACCAAATTCAATATTAGTACCAGTATACAGTTGCAGGGGCTTATTATTACCTCAATATTTATATATTCACACACACAGCACAGTATGAGTGAAAGGATTGCTGGATCTCCCAGTAAAAGAGTGTCCAAGATATTCTCATTCAGAACTAAAGACCAGACCACACCCATGGGAAAGAGGAGACGCAGGAAAGACGATAATGAAGAAGATGATGATGAAAGTAAGATACATGTACATAATTATGCATGTACATGTAACATGTATCTCAATGTATCTTAATGTACATGTATAATAGCACATGTTATTCATTTTTATTTATTTTTTAGTTGTTATTCCTTCTGATCCTCTAACCACTGATGGCCCTACCCTCCAGCACCTTGGAAACAAAAGACCACGCCCACCAAGACGTAATCAAAATCGTCCGGCAGGCCTCAAGAAGGCAGCGGAGACGGGACCTTCCTCAATATGGGACCTTCCAGCCAGTGATGACACTGATAATAACAGCACTCCAGTAGAGACTAAAAAGTAAAATTTATAACTGTGCATATGCATATTTAGCCACGGCCACAACCATATTAGCCACGCCCAGTCTAATAAATAATTGGAAAATAGAGAGCTTTTAAGAACATGTAAAGAGTGCAAATTTTCCCTTTCTGAAATCACCCTCAATTTTTTATTACATTCTCTGATACAAACTGCTGTCCTTTTTCTAATAAAAATTTTGTGTTAATCTGACTAAAATTTTTCAAGATATGGCCATTTTAAAAAATCAGCCATTTTTTAAAAAAACCCCTGTACTATATATAGCCCATGATTTTTTCCAAAAATGGCTCCAAAATCAGCCCAAATTTTTATTACATTTTCTGATACATATTGATGTCCTTATGCTGTGTAGAAAGTTTGAGCTGATTCCGACTTTAATTTTTTAAGTTGCTGCAGCCATTTTAAGAAAATGCCAAAATTCTTAAAAATACGCTGTACTATAGCCCATGGTTTTTTTTTCAAAAAATGGCTCCAAAATCACCCCAAATTTTTATTACATTTTCTGATACATATTGATGTCCTTATGCTGTATAGAAAGTTTGAGCTGATTCCGAC